GCACCATGCGACGACCACAGCACTTTCGACCGCGAGATGCACATCGAGATATGACCGACTCGAGACGCGAGCACACACGAAATCACCATGCACAAGCACGAAGACACGGCAATGACCGAGGGCAACAACACGGCGCACTTAACGAACGACGAAGCACCTACGAGCAGCGCAGACGCACCTACCAGCGCAACCCCATCAACCATATAACCAGCACCGACTTCAAAACCAGCAGCGAAGCCTGCGAGATTCAAAGCACCACCTACCCTACCAACAGTCCGAGAGGAAACAGCAGAATAGCCTACACACGTGATCGACTACGAGGTCAAGACCAAACAGCACGAACTCGACTCACAGGAGCAACGCGCAACCACCAGTGAACCCAGCTGCTACAACCCGACGCCCAGCGACAGCACACCAGCAACAAGCGCCAACCAACCACCTGCCATAGAAGTCGTACCACAGAGGCCCAGTGGCCGGTTCCCCATCACCACGATCACACACGAGAAGGTCAACCCCGACGCAATCAACTTCCCGATGGAAGTAACCATACGCCACTCATTCCACACGAAGTTGGAGGACTCTCTCGAACACGGCACAATCACGGTGAACGAGGGAGACGAGGTCACAATCGTCAGCATGTCCTACAACGGCAACAACGACCGATGGGCACGGGGCACCATCACTCAGACCAATACCATGCGGAACACCAAACAATCTCAGACATCAGACATCATCACCGAATACCAGTCCCAACGCAACGACATCCAGGAGAAGCTCGACATCCTTGCGACAATGGTAGAACACGTCAGCTACAACCGGGCCCTCAACATCCAGAAGGAGATCACCCTGGCCAAGGAACCCATGTCCAAGCTCACCGACAACCTCAACGAGTCCATCAACAACCGACGCCCTTGAACTGCGGCGATAGCCATCCTCGCAATCACCCACCAAACACTTGACGACCGCACGAGGTGCCCACACGCCCGACGTCGCCACAGCCAACAGATACGCCTTCCCGACCTCCGATCTACGCTCCAACTGCTCCTCACCAAGCAGTACTCCCTGAACCTCATCCTCCGCATCGTCAGCATGAACATCCTTGCCCCTACATCCTCGGCTACCCCACGTGCACGAACTGCATCCTCCTGAAATACTACCACCTCTGAAGGGGCAGGGAGGGATGGGAGTGGTCGAGTTTGGAGGTATGCCTGGAGTTGAGGCAGGTGTTGGGGGTGGTGGTGGGGGAAAGACAGGGCGGGCGCTTCGACCCGCAGCTCCGCCTCTTCTCCCTCCCCTCCTCGCTCCGCCCGCCGTCCGTGGCCCTGCCTTCGACCTCTTCCTTCGAGCCCCCGTCCGCTTCTCCCCCTTCGTACCTCGCCGGCCTCACCGGCGGGCGGAACGGCCCATCTTCCGAATGGCCCCCTCTCGCCATCGCTCGGACGTCCATTCCCTGTGTTTTTTTCGGTTTCGTGCGTGGCTTTTTCGCCACATGATCAAGGATGCTCCTCGATGGTTCTCGCCGAGAAAAAATGCACACGTCCGTGCGATGCCAGGCCCTCCTGCGGTGCCATGCGGCGCCCGCAGGAGGGGGCCACTGGCTGCACCAGCAAACTGGATCAACAGCCACGAGCGAGCGAGCGAGCGAGCGAGCGAGCGAGGAGGAGGAGGAGGAGGAGGAGGAGGAAGGAGGAGGAGGAGGAGGAGGAGGGGAGGGGGAGGAGGAGGGAGGAGGAGTAGGAAGGAGGAGGAGGAAGGGAGGAGGGGGGGGGGGGCGGCAACTCCATGGCCGCTCGCCGCTCGCCCCCAGCTGGGCCTCCGCCGGCGTGGCCGCCCCCCCGCGCCCTCGGGGGGGAGACGCCCCCCCCCCCTCCTCCTCCTCCTCCTCCTCCTCCTCCTCCTCCTCCTCCTCCTCCTCCTCCTCTCCTCCTCCTCCTCTCCTCCTCCTCCTCCTCCTCCTCCTCCTCCTCCTCCTCCTCCTCCTCCTCCTCCTCCTCCTCCTCCTCCTCCTCCTCCTCCTCCTCCTCCTCCCTCCTCCTCTCCTCCTCCTCCTCCTCCTCCTCCTCCTCCTCCTCCTCCTCCTCCTCCCCTCCTCCTCCTCCTCCTCCTCCTCCTCTCCTCCTCCTCCTCCTCTCCTCCTCCTCCTCCCTCCTCTCCTCCTCCTCCTCCTCCTCCTCCTCCTCCTCCTCCTCCTCCTCTCCCCCCCCCCCTCCTCTTCTCGGCCTCGTCTGGCCTCGCGCGGATCCTCCGCACGGCCCGCACACGCCTGGAGCGCAGCCCTCTCTCTGCCGTGGCCTCTCCTCTGGGGCCCGCCCTCCGTGGGCTCCACGGAGCTCCTGGGCCGGGGCTCGAGCCAAACAGTATTTGTCGTCTAAAGTGTTGCTGATGTTTTCCCTCGGCCAGTTTTCGTCCCGGCATCGCTGCAGAGCAAAACAACAACGACAACGGCCCACGAAGTGACCAAGACACCGTTCAGCTCGAGCCCTGTCATGGGCTGGCCGCTGGCGCGCTCCCCCGGCGGGCTCGCCCTCGACTGCCGAGAGGCGACCGTCGCCTCCTCGCGACGTGGGCCAGCGCCGCCTGCGGTGAGGTCGAACTGCGCAGGCCCCTGGCTCGCGAAGCATGGGTGGCGGCTGCGGAGCTCGTGGGTGCGGCTCGCCGACAGAGCGCGAGCTGTGCCAAGAGTCGCCCTCACCCTGGACAAGCCGCAGTGCTCGCCTCGTGTGCAAGCGCACCGATGCCCTTGCGGGAGGCAGCCCAGGCGTCGCGTGAGCGGCAGCACCCGTGGCCGAGCCTCATCTGGAGCGCCATCCCTGGCAGCTCCTTCAGGAGCGCCCGGCGAAGCTCCTCGCTCCACGCCTTCAGGGCCGAAAGCCCCAGGTTCATCAATGACTGCGGACTCCTCGCCCGTGCCCACGTCGGTGCCGATCACAGACCGAGCCGTCGGCAAAGCGCTCGTGCACACGCCCCTCGGCACGACGCTCCGATCCGCTGTGCGGGGCCCCGCGGCTTGCGGTCGCGGTCTCGCGCGCAGTGGACGAGCTTTCGTGGCTCCACCAGGGGAGCCCCTGGGCGAGCCGCCCGAGGAGGTACCTCCTCTCCCGTTTCTGGCCTGGGTGGTGATGATGACTTGGCCGGATGTCGAGCCCTTGTCTCGGAAGATGGTCCGAGATATTCCCTTTTACCCCTGGAAACAGCGGACGCAGCAGGCGGGTGACTCCCGTCATGGGATCCTGCAAGAGACGTTCCTCGCGGCATCTGAGCGGCTCGCCGCGAGGATCGGGAGAGAATCAGATCCTCAAAAGGGTTTTCGAGCCAGCCCCCCTGGTCTAGGCCAGACTGGCTGAGCACTGGAGCGCGCGAAGGCGGCGGAGGAGGGAGAAGCAAGGAGGAGAGAGGATGAAGATGAGGAGGGCGGCGGAGGAGGTTGAGGACGTAGAGGGACAAACCACATCAAAAACATAAACTTTCGGAGCTCCGCGCGAATTTCTTGGATCTGCGCTGGATCCCCATGCTTGGCGTGCGGAGCGCGCCAGGGGCGGATCCAAGAAAGCCGCGCGGAACTCCGAACGTTTACGATTATGCACTTTTTCGCTCCTCGAGGGAGGGGAGGGAGGAGGGATGAAGGCGCACGCAAGAGCAGGAGAAGGAGGAGAGGGAGGAGGAGAGGGAGGAGGAGGAGGAGGAGGAGGAGGAGGAGGAGGAGGAGGAGAGGAGGAGGAGGAGGAGGAGAAGGTCCCTCCCCCGAGGGGCCGGCTGGGGGGCCGTGCGGCACAGCACGGGTGGCTCCCCCTCCTCCTCCTCCTCCTCCTCCTCCTCCTCCTCCTCCTCCTCCTCCTCCTCCTCCTCGTCCTCCCTCGTCCTCCTCCTCCTCCTCCTCCTCCTCCTCCCCTCCTCCTCCTCCTCCTCCTCCTCCTCCTCCTCCTCCTCCTCCTCCTCCTCCAGGTCTGGCCTGCTTCAGCTGGGCACAGACGGCCAGCTCCACGGCGCCGCCCCAGCGAGCCCCGGTGCGCATGGCGCGCCCTGCGCCGCTCTCGGGGGGCGGCGGGGCGGGCGCACGGCGGCGGCGGCCAGGGCCACGGCAACGACGTCGTCGACGACGGCAGGCAGCGGCGACGGCGGCAACGGGTGCGACGTTGTCGACGGCGGCAGGCGGCGACGTCGCCGAGGGCGACAGACAGTGAAGTCGTCGACTGCGGCAGACAGCGACGTCGTCGACGTCGACGTCGACGTCGACGTCGACGTCGACGACGACGACGACGACGACGACGACGACGACGACGACGACGACGACGGCGGCGGCGACGACAACGACGGCAGATAGCGACGTCGTCGACGACGACCAGTGCGCAGGGCACAAAGTAGTGTGGAGCCCTGGGGCGAGCTTCTGGGGCTGGGAGCGGGTTAAGAAGAAGGTATTTGGAACATGTTGGGGCGCTGAGGCCCATCTCGGGCCATCCAGTGCTCGGTTCAGCTCCGCCCACGAATCGGTGTCGGCGATGACCAACACATTGCCGCACCCATGGCACCCACCAACCTTCCCATGCAACCGCATGGACCTGGGCAGCGCCGCATCCCTCATCGCTTCACCCGTGGCGTTGACGATGCGACCCTGTCCTGAAATGCACGCTCGCGGCGGCAGCCTAGCCTGCCATGTTGGCACAGGCGGTGCGAGGCCACCTAGAGTGGGCGCGACGATGATGATGGACTCTTGGATTGGCTCCCCATAGGGCGCTCCTCACGCTGCCATTCATCCTCCTATTACTCCACTTGATGGTAGGAGAAGGAGGAGGAACAGAGGCTCGGTTGGTTGGGAACAGGCGGAGACAGCGATTGGTCACAGCCAACGCGCAGGCAGGGAAGGACAAACAGGGCAAGCCAGCAGGGGGCAAGTCGACAACCAGCAGCAAGAGAAGCTGCCCACACGCACTCTGGACAGTATTCCCGTCAGCACGTCTGGGGAGGAGGGGGGGGGGAGGGGGGGGGAAGCAGCGCAACGGCGGTCACTGCACGGCTGGGGTGAAGCCAAGCTCCTCGGCTGGGATGCCGTACTCGGCCAGCTTGGACTCGTAGGTCTTCACCATCGTCCGGTGCATGTCCCTGATGCGGTCGACTTCGTCCTGGAGCTGAGCGGCGATGTCGTCCTTGACGGCCACCGCCTGGTCGAGGCTCTCTGCGATGCCGCCTCCAGCGCCCTGGTCGAGATTGGCAGCGGCCAGAATCTCTGTCAGCTGCGCATTTGCCGTCTCGAGAGCATCATCTATGGCGTCGATCTTCTTCTCCAGGATCAAGTTCTTCAGGCCAGCCTTCTGCTGCACATCGTAAATTGAATTCTGGAACTTCGAGTAGAGGTCATCTCGCTCGGAGCTCGTGGTCCTCAGCTGCTGCTGTAGCACCTCGTGCTGGAACTCCATCCTGTGGAGGAGAGTGTCGGACTGCTTGATCTTCTCCTTGACGCTGGCTAGCTTCTTCTTGTCTTCCTCGTACGCCTGGAGTTCCCTCTCTAAGTCCTCGACATCTTGGTGTGCTTTCTTCAGCGGCTCCTTGAGCTGTTTGTTCTTGTTCTCTAAGTCGAACATCATCTTTGCATTGTCGTTTTCGCGCTTTTTTATCTCTGAATGTTCCTCCTTTAGCCGCTTGATCAAGTCCAGATTCGACGCGGTGATCTCGTTATCCGCCACCGTGCCCTGTGTACGTCGGGGCGTGTTAGAATGCCCGTCTGCTGTCTGGTGAGATTGCTCCATTGCTTTTCAGGCCGACCCCATGCCAGGCCCGCACGCGCCGGTAGAACGCCGCCCCCTCCCCTCTAGAGCCGATTTGGGACTAGCGGGCGTCTTCTTATTCGGCGTCTCGACGTTGGGCGGAAGGGGGGGGGCAGGGGGGGGGTTCTGGCTCCGGACCTTTGCTCAGCGCGACTGTTTGCAACAGCGAGCACCCAAACAGCCAAGATCTATTCCATGGGGGGGGGGACGAGGGCCCGCGCCGATCGGCAAAACAATACATAAAAAGATCACTTATTCCTCCACAGCAAACTGCTGTTTGGAGAAGCCTTGTTTTTCTAGAGAGGCCCTCCTCCGAGGACGGCCGAAACATGTCAAAACAGCAAGACAGAACCCTCACAGGAAACTGCAGTAGACAACAATAGCACACACCAAACGAGCAGTCAAAACAGCCCCAACAACACCAAAACTGTCAAAAGGCCTCCAAGGTGGCCCAAAAACAGCCCAAGAAAACCTCCAGATGCCCCAAGAGGGCCCCAATATGGTCCAAGATGGCCCCACCGGCCCTAGGACGCCTGCGGGGCCCTCGCGAGCAACAAACAATGTGTTTCCTTAGGGCATTGAAAGATTTTAGCTGCTGGTCCTTGTTGGCTCCCGAAAGCCCGAAGTGTCCCCCAAGAGGGTTCCCAAGACAGCCCGACAGAGTCCCGAGAGGACCCCAAGACGACCCAAGAGGCCCTCGATATGGCCCAAGATGCCCCCAGGACGGCCCAAGAGGCCGCCAAGTCTCGAGTTGGCCTTGACCGCCTGTTCGTAAGTACGGGAGTACCCTAAATGCCCCCACCATGCCCCACAAAGGCCCCCCTGAGAGGCCCCCCAAGACATCCCCGCGAGGCCGTGAAAGTCCCAAGAAACTCCCAGCCGGCCTCCGTGAGGCCCCAGAAGCCCCCCCCAAAGAACCCTGAGGGCCCCCGAGACGGCCATCAGATGCCCCCAAGAAACTTTCAAGGGGCCCGCCAGAGGCCCCGGAGAGGCTCCCAGTCTGGGGTTCAAGAGGGGGGAGGGAGAAAAGGGAAGAGAAGAGGGAGGAGGAGGAGGAGGAGGAGGAGGAGGAGGAGGAGGAGGACGAGGAGGAGGAGAAAGCACGCTACAGGCTAGATCCTTAAGCTGGGCTAACCTAAAGGAGGAGGAGGAGGAGGAGGAGGAGGAGGAGGAGGAGGAGGAGGAGGAGGAGGAGGACGAGGAGGAGGAGGAGGACGAGGAGGACGAGGAGGAGGCACGCTACAGGCTAGATCCTTAAGCTGGGCTAACCTAAAGGAAAAGGAGGAGGAGGAGGAGGAGGAGGAGGAGGAGGAGGAGGAGGAGGAGGAGGAGGCGGCGGACCGCACCCTGAGCCGAGTCGTGCGAGCCCCGACCACCCACCTCCGCTCCTTCTCTGGCTGCTCGCACCTGCTCCAGCCCGTGCGAAACATAAAGCAAGAGGCGACAGCGGCAGAGGAGGGAGGCGCTGCGGCAACACGAGCTGCCGAAGTGAGAACGCTGCTGCTGCTGCTGCTGCTGCTGCTGCTGCCATACCTGTGCGACGGGCCGACACCGCGCCAGTGCTGCGCCGACGCAGCAGGCGCGCGCCCCGTGCCGTCGCGGAGCGGTCGGGCAGCGGACGAGCACGCAGAGTTGAGGCCAGGGGGAGGCGGCGGGCGGGGAGCCGAGGACGGAGGCAAGCTGGCACCGACGCAAGAGGCTGAGGCCGAGGGCGAGCTGCTGCGACTCCCACTGCTGCCCCCGCGGATACTCTCAGGCGACGGCGACTTCGACTCTGACCCTCTCCCCCTCGCTTCAGCTGCCACCTGATGCATGTCGGGGCGCCGCCGCATCCTCATCGGAGAGCTGCTGCCCCCATGGATGCTCTCAGGCGACGGCGACTTCGACTCTGACCCTCTCCCCCTCGCTTCAAAACTGCCACCCGATGCACGTCGGGGCGCCGCCGCATCCTCATCGGAGCACCGCTGACAAGGAGCCGAACAGCGAGACGGGTACCCTCCACCAGCGTGGCGGCGCCATGGTATAGCGGCGGAGCGCCGAACTTGTGGCTCATGGGGCGGGAGTGGTGATACATGGCCATCACGAAGCTCAAGCACCCTCCATCCAACCCCAATCGATATCGAAGGCCGCTGGGCAAGTCACTCCTCAGGGTCAACTCCGCAAAGTGTTGGCACCTGCTGCTCTCGATAATGTAGTGCCGCGCAGTGTCAGGAAACCTGGGGCAGCCGTAGATGCAGGCCGATTCGCGTTGCATCCGAGAGTTGGTGATCTAGCCGCTTAGGTACGCTTCCAGCGCCGCCGTGGCGAGTACCTGCTTCAGTCTTTCAAGCTCCGTGAACCGAGCATCACAATGCTTGACCAATCGACGTTGAATGATACCTTTCATCGAGGGCGGCAAGGCCGCGCGAACCGAGATACTTTAGAACACAGACTGCAATTTCGCCTTCCTTTGCAACTGAACTGTACGATCGAGAGCATGAGGGAGAGGATCGTAACCAAAGATCGGCCTGACCTCCAGCGGGATCTCCTTACCATCCCTCTGCCACAGCATCAGCGCAAGTCCGCCTCCCTTCCGAAGGCAGGCATCACCAAGCAAACCATTTTGCCTCCTTGGCCGCTTCGGCTCCGCAGTCGTTCTGGCTCAAGCCTACGTGCTTCACATGGGCACACGTGGATACCGCTGATCCGCGGCTAGACTTAGGTCGGGCATATCCTCCTACAAGCGGCTTTTGGAGGAGCAAGTGAAAACAGAGTCACATAATATCCAAAGATAGCCAAACGATACTCGAAACATCGTCCCCAGATTATTTTTCTCCTATTCTTGCATTTTCCTCCTGTAGAGGGACAAGCCCGACTTAAGGCCAGACCGCCAAAGGTTTGGACGCGCGAGATGGGTACGGAAAAAGTGGGTACAATGCCCAACAACAGATGTTGTCCCAAACAAACAGTGGCCGCTGTTGGGCAGACGGCCTTCTGTCTCGAGTGGACACGGGCCGCGGCGGCGCGGACAGCGAATCCTGTTCAAAATGAACAGGGACTGCTGTTGGGCATCGTACCCATTCTTCCCGTCGGAAGAGGAAGGGGGAGGAGGAGGAGGGGGAGGAGGAGGAGGAGGAGGAGGAGGAGAGAATGAGGGAGGAGGAGGAGGAGGAGGAGGAGAGAAGGAGGAGGAGGAGGAGGAGGGAGGAGGAGGAGGAGGAGGAGGAGGAGGAGGAGGAGGAGGAGGAGGGAGGAGGAGAGGAGGAGGGCGGAGGAGGAGGGAGGGAGGAGGGAGGGAGGAGGAGGAGGGAGGAGGAGGAGAGGAGGGAGGAGGAGGAGGAAGAGGAGGGGAGGAGGAGGAGCAGGAGGAGGCGCACTCTGGCGCCCCGACCTGCGCGCCCCCAGGGGTCCGGTGGTCGCCTCCTCCCATTCGTTCGTGCCGACAGGGCTCTCTCTCTCTCCTCCTCCTCCTCCTCCTCCTCCTCCTCCTCCTCCTCCTCCTCCTCCTGCCTCCTCCTCCCTCCTCCTCCTCCTCCTCCTCCTCCTCCTCCTCCTCCTCTTCCCCCCGTTCGTTCCATTCGTTCGTGCCGACCACCGTGGCGGGCCGCCCGGCGGCCACGACCGCGCGGGGCCCCGCCCGCTCGCCGAGCGGCGCGGGCAGGCGGTGGCACCTCCTGGCCCGGCACCAATGAAGGGGCCCTGGGACACACAAATAAATACACACAAAAAAAATATTCCCCATAGTTTCCCATATTTTCTGGGTTTCTGTCTTGCTCCCCACTGCCCATCTTTTCCCATATTTTCTTGGGAATCGCCGATGAATTGTGTCTGCGTGTTTCTTTCCCTCCTGAACCAAGGCGGCGCAGCCACGGGAAGGGGCTGCAGCGCTGGGGGCTCGCTGTGCCCCGCTGGATCGCCCGTAGCAGGCCATCCGCATCCCGCGATGGGCCGTACAGAGATGGAATTCCAATTTGATCCGTTCTCCCACTGCAGGAACACACTGCTGTATGGATTAAATCGACATCTAATCCCTATGAAAAATCGGAAAACCGGCCGTTTAGGACCAAAGGTCAACAAAAATCCACTCCCACAATAACCACCCCGACACCTTCCGTCGTGCAGCAAACGTGCCCAACGACGGAGTCGAACCGGGCAAGGCTGTTCAGTGAACGCCCAAGGCCGTTCCGGAAACGCCAATCATCGGGTCCGGGTGCTTTTTCCTCCCTTGAGCGATGGCAAGAAGGCCAGGAAGGAAATAAGGAGAAGGATCGAGACCGAGGCCGAGAGAGAAAGGCAAGGCTGCTCGACCTTCCCCGTCTCCATCATCGGGTGGGTCCGCTTCCCGCACTCCCCCGCGCACGCCGCCGCCGCAGAGGTCTGCCCGTCGCGGTGATCGGGACAGGTGTGTTCGCGCCGCTGCTGATGATGCGATGGCTCGCGGATTGCTGATCGGAGATGTTGGTGATGAACGGGCCCTGCAGGCTCTTGATGAGACACTCGCCTTCCCAGATGGAGAAATCACGGGCGAAGGGTTACAGTGCGGGCGCGGCCACAAGAAACCCTCGCAAGAAACCCAACCCTGAGAACCCGTGCGCGAGGTGCACCTGAGGGGAAACTTTGAGCGCCCCGAACGCAGCAGCTCCTTCAACGGCTGCGGGAAGTCACCGCGCAGCGCGAGGAGCGAAGAAACCCATGATACCCTGACGAAGAGCATGTGGTTTCTTGATGCGCGCCCCCACTGTAGGGCAATGCGTGCGGAAGCACAGGAAACGCGGGCAGCGCCCAAGACCGCAGCACAGCCCGGCGCGCACGGCCGTGACCCCCCCCCCCTTGTACGGCTGCGCACGTGCGTGGCCGTGCACCAGGGCCTCGGCCACACCCGCGTGGCAACACGCCGACGAAGGACCCGCCTTGACAGATGGAGA